CTTTTTGGTAACTTCATGACTTAACTGACCACGACATTGCATGCACGTAGTTTATTTCGCACTTTGATATGAAAGGATACAGGCTACAGCGCGCGCCGGCGCCTTTGTGCATGCAACTGAAGAGCATGCGCTGCGAGCACAGTACTGTTTCCGCGCTCGTTTGATATACTATATACTGTACGCATACACATACACATACACATATATATATATTATTAATTATTATTTTATACATTTTTGTATTAATTATTATTGACTTAAAGCCTCTTAAAGTTATTTTATTATTCCTCTCTACCAACATAAGTGGGTAAAAAATGTGGACGTGCTCTGAGCCTGTTTTTTTCTATTAAATTAAATAATAAATACGTTTCTGGATTATAGAGTATTCAGTCTTTTTTTTTTTTTTTACATACACTACCAGAATGAAAATCTATTTTGTATTTTTACATTAACAATATAATTAATAGGCTTTTCTATTTATTAAAACCAAGTATAAATCTAATCAGTTTAGTGTTTTTTAAGCATTTTGCATGTATTCCAAAATAATAACTCAAGGCAGTAACAATTTAAACAATATATTTTATTTAAACAAATATATATTTTATTTATAAACTGATGTTCAGCTGTTCTTTGTAATAATAAACTTATTTTTGGATCATCAGTCATCAGAGCTCGGTAAACACTGGTCACAGATGCGGAGATGTACCTTTAATTTCAACAAGCTGATTGATCACTAAAAACCCCCACAGATCATGTTTTCAGGCCATTTGAAGTTTGATTTTGACTTGACAAAGTGGTGATATAAGTGTTTTTAAGCATTTTACATTTATTCCAAAATAATAACTCAATGCAGTAACCATTTAAACAATATATTTTATTTAAACAATTATATATTTTATTTATGAACTGATGTTCAGCTGTTATTATTGCAATACTTAAAGTCTGTGTAAAGCAATATTAAATATGTGTTCTGAGTTTGTCACACCACAGAAAAATGTGTTATTAACCACCCAGCCAAATTTGAATAAAAAAACGCAGCAAGTAAATAAAATAAGTTATTTACTGGATACTACAAAAGTAACATCTTTTGAGGGCATCTCACAAAGCAAAAGTTTTTCAGTGACTGTCCAATACAATATTTCTATATAAAAGTATAATGTGGTATGAGGTACGTGGGCATATTAGGGTCACACCTAGCCAAAAATGAGTAATATCTCACTGTAAAAGTCACGCATTTACACTACAGAGTAGTCATTAAGCACCATGTTATGGCAAGACGATGGGACACAGATATGGAAATAAAGAAATGCATTTGCAGTATTTGAAGAGTACATGTAGGGCAGAAGAGGAAGGAAGCACTTTGGTTTGGCGGTGCCATTTCAGCAGGGATGGGATTGTGAAGTCATTGATTTATGACTGAATCAGGGGCCCTATTATTGAAGTTATGTGAGAACAGGAAGTCGCTTGTGTCAGGCTCCTGTCACACGCAGAACCTGCTCTTCAATCACATTTTAGGAGGGAGAATGAATCAGTGGAATTTACGCACACATCGTTCGCTCTGTCAAAATTACGACGCTGGATTGTACAGAGCACGATCTGTGCGTGCGTGTGTTGAAGGCGCCGCTCACGTCTTCCTCCAGAGCAAATCTCAAAACACTCACGTAGTCCCTGTTGTCTGGCTCCTCGTTCTCCTCGTCTTCGTCACTGTCATCTTCTAAACTGCCATCTTTCAGTAAGGAAGAAAGAAAGATAAACAACATGCAAGACTAAGACGTAAATGTCAAGATGAGCAAAATATGGCAGTTCATCTGTAGGATCAAACAGGACCTGCCCAGAGTGCTCAAACATTAGTTCTTTCTGCCTCTGATACGTTCACATAAAAGCAGACATCTGCCAGACATACTCTGGAGTATGTTTGCTTTACCAGAGAGGACAGACATTCATTCATTCATTCACTCACTTATTTATTTCCAATAGATAAAATATAAATTTTTTCAGTATTATATAATATTACATACTGTACAATGTATATGCTATACATTTTATATGTTGTACACATTATATTTTATATACATAGATAGACATATGTATATTTATTTAATTATATTTAATTATATCTTTAAATACCATAAATTAGTTATA